AGTCCAAAAGCATAACAAATTTCATATGTAACTTCAGAGGAAACATATTGGATCCAAATGAATGTTAGGAGGAGCTTCTTCAAAATGCAAGAAAAACCTTAATATCAATAATTACTTTATACGAGCAATTCAAACTACTAAATTGTCTCTGCACAATTAACTGGATCTACCACATAAGAAGAGATTTTTTTAAAGGAAAGAAACATATATTTGTAAAGTACGTAACACAAGTAAACAAGGATGAGCGTGCATCGAGGAGAAATGTAGACCACTAAATTAGCACACATAATCTTTGAAATTCCACAAGACCCTACAATACCTGAAACAAGTCCGGGGCCTTCACAAATTCCACAATTGTGCGCACAGCTTCCTCCTTGGCTTCATTCAATATATATGCATCTTCACCAGAAAAAGTAGCTAAGTACTTGCTCAGGAATTTGAAAGACTCCTTTGCCAAGCTGAAAATACAACACACAAAAATAATCAATTATTCCTAAAACCAATTGAGTAGGGGCATGTACACATAAAAAAGTTTACAATTTCTACATAGCATACCTTTTGTGTTCTCTTAAAACATTTGATATGGTAAGAAAAAGTTGTCTCTGGTCCGAGACCCCAATATTCCACTCTTTCAAGAAACTTTCTATCTTTTTGAATGAAGGGATGACATGTTCAGTGACCTTTCCATTGATTGCCAAATTTAGAGCACTCAAGTAGACAAAGAACCGGCTATATGGATTCTCCAGTAGGTTGTACAGATTGAACAAGCTATAAAGAAAAGTATAAGTGTCGGAAGTACATTCAAAAGCATGCAAGATGGAGTCACAATCACAATGGTATCTTACATCTTTAAGCGCAATGCAGGCTTGTCACTTGGTTGCTGAGTAATCTTTGCGGATATAAGTTTTGCCATCTCGAGAGCTTCATCTGGACTTTCAGACTTTGTAACAACATTGCAGATAACAGTGAATATGCACTCAAGATCTGAAGAGGAAAACAACAGGAATTATTGTGTATGTGAACAAAAGTTTGATGAACATAGATATTAAGAAAACAAACAATGTGATACCGTTAAGCTAGCAATTAATTATCATTGTGCGTTGAATGAAGTGATTACTAATGTCCGTATTGTCCGACAATGATTATGAAACATTTTAATGAACATTAGCAATGCCTACAATAATATGCATCCCACTCACTGACCAAAAACATTTGCACTATTTTGAAGTAATTTGCTAAAGAACTTGCAGTAAACATTGATATAATAGTCGGACAATAAGGATTGTAGGAAAAAACTCTGCACCATCAGCAACATGTTCTTCGCATCAACTAGTATATGGTAAATG